TTGCCTTATAAGGCCCCTAGCAACGGCACAAGCCTTTCAAGTAAGTATAAAGTACCTGATATTTATATGAAGGGATCCTGAGCAGCTGAGTGCACTCTGGCATATGCGGCCCGGAAAAAGTGTATGTAGCCTTTCGGGCGGGTGGGAAGAATCCGTGGAGGAAAACATGATTGATCAACTGTGCTGAAGCATGGAGGCAGGTAGCGTCCCAACAGCACATTGGGCCCTACGAAAAAATGTGAAGAGATCAAGGGTAACGTGGAAAGCTCTTTAGCGATCAGATTGACGCAGCATGTGGACATATAGGGACAGGCAGACAACAGCGTAATGCCTCTAGTCAGCGTAATGAGCCTTAAAATTCACCCCAAGACACTAAATCAGCGAAGAATGAACTTCGTTTACTTATGAACTCTTTACTTTTGCTAGCAATGGTTGTTGGTCATCTGTAGGCCCAAACGCATCCAATTTTGTTGTGCCTTTGTTGTAAGGAAACTGCGTCCGTCCGGCCGGTTACGGGCCCCTTCGGAGCCTTTGGGTTCCCTCGGCATGTTCCGTGGGACATGGTCCTGTGTCCCCCCCCCCCCCCCACCCTCTGCATCCACCACCGGCCGCGGCGGCTGAATAAATGGGGCCCGCAAAGAACATAGGGCCGTCCATTCAAATAAGAAATACTCACGACACAATGTGTAGGGCTCTGAACGATCGAGTGCGCCAGAACAGGTTAACATGTAGGGCCCCCGTCAAGACCTTGGGGCCCTCCATTCAAATGGGAAGCATTCAAGACCCAATGTAGAGGGCCCCCGAATGATCGAGTGTGCCCGGGCAGGTTAACAGATAATGCTCTCAAAAAGAGCGTAGGATCCTCCATTCAAGAGGACCCTCCAATGATCAGCAGTGTATCAGACCATGCAAACATACAGAGCCCGGTCAAAAGCGTAGGGCCCTCCATTCAAATTAAAACATCCAAGACCCAATGTAGAGGTCCCCCGAATGATCGATTGTGCCCGAGCAGGTTAACAAATAGAGCTCCCAACAAGAGCGTAAGAGTCTCCATTCGAATGGAAGCACTGAAGATCTTAAGTAAATGGGGCCAGAATGATGTAATGTGCCCGAGCAGTATATCAGAAGGAGCCCAACAAGAGCGCAGGACCCTTCATTCAAAGAAGAAGTACTCAAAACCCAGTGCGGAGGGCCCCCGAAAGATGGAGTATACCCGAGCAGATTATCAGGTCATCCAGTCAGGAGTGTAGGGCCCTAAATTCAACGTCAAGACCCAGTATAAAGTGCCCCGAACAATCCAATGTGGCCGAAGCGGCGAACAGATGGGGTTACCGACAAGTGCGTAGGTCCCTCCATTCAGATAGGAAGTACCCAAGACACAATGTGGAGAGCCCCCGGATATTCGAGTGCGTCGGAGCAGGTTAATAGATGGGGCGCCGGCAAGAGCGTAGGGCCTTCCGTTCAAATATGCATTACCCACGGCATGATGTAGAAGGCCCCGAATAACTGAGTGCACCAGAGCAGGTTAACAGACAGGGCCCCCGAAAAGAGCGGAGGGCACTCCATTAGAAAAGAAAGTACCCAAAACCAGACGTAGAGGTCCCCCACGACCGAATGGGCCCGAGCATCTTATCAGGTGGGGGCCGCGACGGGAGCTTAAGGCCCTCTATTCAAATAAGAAGTACCTAAAACCCCATGCGGCGAAGGCGAATAGAAATCACCCATGGAAGGGCCCGTGATTGACAGGAGTTCCCCGGCACACTAACCGGACGGGCCCCAACAACAGCGTAGGGCCCTCTGGGCAAATGCAAAGAAATGAAGAGGACCGCGTGGAATGCTCCTAAAGGACCAAAATGAGCTTGTAGGGAGCAGAAAGGTCCCCCGGAAACAGCATGGGAACATAGACGGTGTAATGGGACTTAAAATTTCCAAGCTCACAACTTCTCCAATCATTGAGTTAATTTTGGGACTTCTCATATGCCTTTCACTTTCGTTACGACTGTTCTTGGTGGTTTGAATGTCCATAGATACCCAGTTTTGTTACATCTTGTACTAAAAAAACTCTGTTCGGCCGGCTTTGGGCCCCTCGGAGCCAATGGGCCCCTTCGGGGCCCGAGGTGTGAAGCATGCCCTGTGGCCCCCCCTCTCTGGATCCGCCCATGCTTGTTACCGTACGTTCTGGGGGGGATACTTTTGTTATTTTCCACGTTTCTGCCCCTCCCCGAGCTCGGCTTGCCCTTGGTGTCGGACTGCCGTGGGGAGAAAGCGATTGACCCTAAGCCTGAGGTATCATTCAGGTGACCAGGACGAAATCTGAAATGGGAGCATCGTAAATCCGATAGTGGACCCGAAGGGCTGGCTAAAGGTCACTGAAGGGGGCGCGGGTCGGACCCCCAAATACCAGCCAGAGGGTCAGTTGCACCCACTGGGCCCCGGTCTGGGCCTGGGGGCCAATTTCCCAAGCAGATCAAGCAACAAGGTCAGGATCTGCGATTTACATTGGTCGGTGCACCCCGCGCCAGTGAGGGGCCCTTGTGTCGGCCAGGGGCACACAGCGCCTAACGGGAGGTCCAGTGTTGACAAGGGCCCCCGAGTTGGTCAGGGAGTGTACGAGGGTGCCTGAAAAGGGACCGATGTACCATTCAAGACTGACAATAAACGGGCCGATGGGAAGGCTAAATGGCCGTAAGGGTCGAAAGGCTACAGGTCATCCTGGCCCGTATGGCTGTGGTCCCAAATATCAGCCAATATGCCTCTTTCGCCGATTGTGAACCCCTGGGACAGTGCGAGCACCTATTTCCGCCGGAGACCACTATACCGAATAGTTGACTCTGCGTTGTTCTGAGGCCTGGGGCCCCCGTTTCTCTAGCAGGAACGAGACCAAGGCCAGTGATTTGCATTGGTTGGAGTCCCTACAACAATTAGTGGTCTTTTGACGGTCAGGCCCCCAGAGTGTCCAACAGGGGGTCCTGTGACGGAAGGAGTCCCGAGTCGGCCAGAGGTGAGCCGGGGCCCTTGCGGGGCCCTTCACCCCGTTTAGCCAAGGGTCCGTTGACCAAACATGGGTCTCTGTGCCAGTTATTGGATCACCTGCGGTTATCAGAGATCTTGTTGCCCCAATGAGGGATTCTTGCGCCTATTCCGGGTCAAATGCCCCGGTCAGATGAGCCGCCAAAAGGCCTTCCGCTCCAGGGAGGGCACCAATGTAGGACGTACACCTGTCAGGGCTTCCAGACGAACCCATCAGGCGAACCCGCCTCCATGTCGCCAGAATGGCAGCTGGTAGACACCTCAGGCTGGGACGGAATGATCTTTAAGCAATGCCCGGAAGGGTCGTGCGCACCTAACCTTTCACTAATGTTTACACATGTATACATTAAATCACACATGATGTTTACGAATTACACATTTTCAATTCATGTTTACACCAGTTGCTGGCCTCATTTAGATTTACGGTGAACCTTCACAGGATCCCCAATACTTCTGTAGGGTGTGGACTCCCTCCCCCTGGAGGGACGGTATCATCTTTATCTTTAGTTCTCCCTCCGGCATAAAAACCGCGCTGCTGTCCGGTAAGAAAATCCCCAACTAGAATTCATCCCGCTTAGCGAGTTGGCATCATCACGCCACACCAATAGGCCATGAAGCCACTCACTTAACAGCGGCCGTCGTCGAGATTTGAACCCGGGCGAGACCAGCATGCCAATCATCGATCCACTGGAGATGCGCGCCCGGCGACCGAAAATTTGTGATCAGAATAGGACTGGCTCAGAATGAGTTGATGGATTTTGTAATCGTCTGATGCCTAGTATCAAGCATAGAGCCGACTTTTTGCACGGGATTCTGCATATTTGCGCTTGCTTCCCCTAAGGCTGGCAATCCGCGTATACTTGATACGCACAACCATCTGAAAGATTTTTGAGGGTGTTTAAGTCCGGTGCGCAGCCACTCTCCATTTTGGAGGGTGTATAAGCCCGGTGCATAACCACCCTCTGTTTTGGGAGCGCGTATACGCGCAGCCATTATTTTAAGGAATGTTGGCAAATTATCGAATAATCTGGAATGTGCGCGCCGTTGGAATGGGCCTCATGGCCCATTCCAGTAAGTGCACAGCAGCAGTGCAAGAAATCGTAGCAAAAATCGCAAAATTTCAAATTATGGTGGTCCATGGGCTTTTGTTGGAGAAAATTCCGACCACAAGCGTGCATAAATAGTTAACATGGGTTGAAAACCCCTATAGATTGACATTCGTTTAATCTGGTCGGAATGACATAGGACGACACTCGCTCAATCTATCCAGTGGTTCGTGGTTCTTTTCTCAACCCTTGGGAATCTATGTTCGATGTTTTAGAAGCTCAGCTTCAGACGTCTTAAACTGCAAAAAACTACTGAGCCCTTCAGCTGCAGGGGTCCTCGCCACCTTCAGAGGACCGTTATAGCATAAATTCAACGTTGCTTTTTGTTACGCGACTAAATCTAGCAGCACCATTGTTTCTTTGAGAGCATGATGGGGTGTTGCTGTCGCACGGGCATCAACACAACAAGATGCCATAAAGAGCGAATGCGGCAAACATATCGAAAAAATGGAAAAAAATATTTCTGTCAGCGGAATGTAAGAGCATGGAATAGGGTAAATTACCGATCGATTATTCTAAGACAAGTTTTACTTGACTACCTGCATGATCACGTGGTTTTTGAACGTCCGAGCTCAGCTTATAGATGCGATAGCTGTCGTTAGCAATTTTATGTTGCAGGGTACGTAATTTAAATAAAAGGTAGTTAGGGAAATGTTAATACACGCCATGGTTTAACTGTTACGTGGGAGCGGGATGGATTCAGAAGATGTGTTTCAATGACGTCATTTGCACAGTTGAGCAGAAATCTGTGCTCAGTCCAGTAAAGCTTTTACAAATTTAGCGCAGCGCCGACAATTCCACGGCGCAACTTACCTCGTTTTGTATTTGGCTGCTGAGTTACATACGTTTTTTTTTTTTGCTTTGAGGGGATAGGGCCGTGGTCGCTGCTAAGCACGGCTGGTTAGGAGTGATGGAGGACGATGCTCCTGTGATTTATGGTCTTGAGTTTCAGGTATTGAAAATTCCATCATTGTGTTTTGCGATAAGGTTTAAGTATCCCATTTATGCACTCGTAGAAATATGCATTGCAATGATGCTATTTCAGTTGTGTCTGAACTGGTGAAATGCCAATTTTCTGTGGTTATTTGCTCAACATGTATTAGCAGCTGCACTCCCAAATTGCTTATCAATATTTTACACATCATGCATACTTAGATGTAAACAATGAATCACTTGTTTTCAACAAATTGCACATTACTCACTTAACTGGAAGGTGTGAAAACAAACAACATATTGTCCATAACCTGGCTGCTTCAAAGCTGGATTGATGTGAAGTCAGTCTTCCAAAACTGTATGTTGCAATTTATTTTTCAGACATTGCAATAACATTGTAACAATAATTCCAGTACATGTGCATCATATATCTGAGAGCTGGGAGCTGGTGCACATGCATGACCAATTTAAGTATGTAGAGAGCCTATGTTTCAAAGAATTGTGATGTTTAAAGGGTCATTTGGGACAAAAATGCTTTAGAAATTGTTGACTTGATAACATTTGACAATTCTATACCATTTGGTGTGGCCTCAGTTTACTACTGCAAGCACCTGGTTCACTGCATCAGTGATGTATTGTCATTCAGTACAGTGGATGGATGTTCCTATTTGGGACCTGAAGTATGGCATGTGTGGCAGCTGGGAAGTGCATGACAGGAATCTGCCAGTTTTTTTTTGCATTTTATGTTGTGTTTTTCAAATTTTATTTATGTGGAGGGATGCATACCTTAGTTTAAAATGAATAACAGGCACCTTTGGTCATCCATATATTTTTTAAGCATTATGATATATTGACATTTTCTGTAGCATGTTCGGCCATTTAAACATGTTTTACAGAGGCTGCCAGCATTTAATTTCAAGGAAAATGCATATCCTCAATGAGAGGCTGTCAGGACATTACATTAAGGATACATGTTCCCAATAGCATACACATAAATTTCTGCCATCCAAAGGTATAACCTCATTTGGCTGTGTTGTGTTTTGTATCATCTGATTCATCTACTCATGCTGAATTTAGTGATTAAAACCATTAGTTCAAATTTTCACAAGCTTTTAGCCCATTCTTTTAGCTAAAAGCCTATGCAAATTTGAACTTTTGGCTGGAATATCTGAATTCAGCATGAGATGACAAATCAGATGACATAAAAAATGTGAAATGGCCTGAGATTGATGTATGGGGTTTTACCTTTGAACAACAGAGTTAGCAACTTTTAGCAAAGGTGATGTGTTGTTACATCTTATCACCTTGAAGACTAAAAGGACTAAGTTGTGCTTTTTGGAAAGTTCATTGAAAGGTAATTGCTTTAGAGGTGCTGTTTTTAGGAGTGTGTTTCTGCCAACAGTCCAGAGCATTGGCTGCTGTGCAAGGAGGCACAGATGATGTCATGTTCATGGTGGGAACCCAGTCACTGAAGTATGACAACCAGATTCATCTGCTCCAGCTGGATGAAGACACAGGAGCCCTCAATAAACAGGTGACTCATGCTTAACATCTGCCAATGCATGTAGTGATGAAAAACCTTCATGAGCTTAATGAATAAATGGAACCTCTCTCTCCCTCTAAAAATCATATTGTCTCTCCTTCATCACACTCTCTCCCTTTCACCTACCATCACACCACAGGTGGTGTGTGACACCAGGTGCAACTGGTGTATGTTTTCCTGTTTAGCCCACTTCTGTGTGCTACCAGTGCAAATAGCTCATGGTGTGACCAGTCGGTGTCCTGTCATTCACTCTGCTCACCTCTGCCAGTGAAGTGCAATATCTGGTGTGACCATCTTCCCATCCTGGGCAGATCTTCCCTCACCCTGCTGGTGAGGTATGGTACCTGGTGTGACCATTGCCTGTCTTCCCATCCTGGGCAGATCTTCCCTCACCCTGCTGGCGAGGTATGGCACCTGGTGTGACCATTGCCTGTCTTCCCATCCTGGGCAGATCTTCCCTCACCCTGCTGGCGAGGTATGGCACCTGGTGTGACCATTGCCTGTCTTCCCATCCTGGGCAGATCTTCCCTCACCCTGCTGGTGAGGTATGGTACCTGGGTGTGACCATTGCCTGTCTTCCCATCCTGGGCAGATCTTCCCCTCACCCTGCTGGCGAGGTATGGCACCTGGCCTGCTCGCCAGCCGACAGCCGGCTGTTCAGCTCGTGTTTCGGCCGACTGGAGGAGGGCTCCTCCCCGGCTCGGTGGCGCCATCTGGTCCCTGCCGGCCGAGGACGACGGCGGCTCGGCGTCGGCCGCCCTCACCCGCCTGGTGGACCTCAAGGCACAGGTGGGTGGTGCACATCAAATGGCTACTTCAGGGCAGGCCTCCGCACGTTACTTGAGCTATTCGCTTATTGTGTAGAACAGTCTTAACCTGTTTTGCATGCAGAGTGCTTACGCACAGCCTGTTTGACGCAGCATCTGTGCGCAGATCGGCGGAAAGCCATCGCCAGTCCCTGCTGTAGTGTGTTTCGGTGCTGTTGCAGGACATTAGCAGTGTGCAGTGGCAGCTGGTGGACGGCAGCCAGGCAGTGGGCGTGGGCGAGCGGCAGCTGACCGTCTGGGACCTGGACACCGGCCGCGGCTCAGCGGCGGTCAGTGCCCGGTGTGCCGTCGGTGACCTCCTCAGTGACCTCCTCAGTGACATCTGATCTCTTCAGCCCGCACCAGACGGCCACTGGTGCGGTGAACGGGTGCCGCGTTTGTCGGTCTTTTTTGCTGTGCGTGGTTGTCAGTCAGACGAGTCCGCGTAGTGGTCGGAGAGCTGTACGCCTCTTTCCTGGTTCCGTCTTTAGATGCTGGAAAAGCAGTGCAAACGTTAAAAGGAACAAAGATGGACAACTTTGGTGTTATCCTGTTTACTTTCCGACATTATATTTTTACTTCCTATAGTGGCAGTGGGCAGTTAGCCCATGCACCCTTTTGTAGGTCGACACCGAACACCGGTGGTGAAGACGCGTTTTTCGTGTCACGCCATTTTCGCGGTCTTCTTTGCCTTGATTTTCGCGTTTTTTGATTTCCTTGTGCGCCATTATTCGGTGGACGCGTGGTCGAGGCCTGACAGAGTCGCCGTCCGTGACGTCAGGTGTCTGCCGAGATCACGTGCCCGGGCCGCGTCCAGTCTCTGCTCGCCTGCGCCCGCTGGAACCCGCACCAGTGCTGCAGCCAGCTGGCGGCCGCGTGCGACGCGCACGTGCGGGGCTTCGACTTGCGCTCCGGCCAGCTGGCCTGGGCCGTCGAAAACGCCGACGCGCAGCTGGTCAGGTGGGCCTCCGCCAGACACCGCCGAGCCGCGCGACAGCACGAGTGTGATGACTGGAACAGGGGCGGGGAAGGGGGGGGGCACTCGGTCAGACACCGCCGGGCCGCGCGACAGCACGAGTGTGATGACTGGAACAGGGGCGGGGAAGGGGGGGCACTCGGTCAGACACCGCCGGGCCGCGCGACAGCACGAGTGTGATGACTGGAACAGGGGCAGGGAAGGGGGGGCACTCGGTCAGACACCGCCGGCCGCGCGACAGCACGAGTGTGGGTGACTGGAACAGGGGCGGGGAAGGGGGGCACTCCGCCAGACACCGCCGAGCCGCGCGACAGCACGAGTGTGATGGCGGAACACGGGCGGGGAAGGGGGCAATCCGTCAGACACCGCCGAACTACGCGACAGTAAGCTTGAAGGCTGAAACAGGGGCGGGGGGGGGGGGGGGGGGGCACTCCTCCCGATACCGCTGAGCCTCGCGGCAGTGCAAGTGTGATGACTGGAACACGGGCGGAGGCGGGAGGGGACTCCGAGGCTTGGGTGAGAGCGCTTGTTCTGAAGGTGCGTTCGCAGACACCACCACAGGCGCAGGTGTGGCATGTTTAGTTGCGCAAAGTTTGGGGACTTGCTTCCGCCCCCGCCCCCATCCCCCCCCCCCCCTACACATACTGTGACACAACGCATGGTCATTGTGACCTCTCCGTGAATTGTCAAGATGACGCCGGTGACATATATCCCGCATTACAGTAGATTGGGAGTCGGACTCGAGTGTTGCGATGCGATGCTTGAATCACTGTAAATGCCGATGTCCTTGGTGGAGTTTCCTGGAGGACGGTATGTACCACGGAGTTTGGAGTGCGAACCTTGTCCCGCTTGCGCTCGGGTGTCGCTGACCGGTGCGGGGGAAGCGTCTGTCTATGCATAAAAGACGCGGCACTACATGCCATGGACTGGGAGCTTGAGGGCGCTGCGTACCTGGTCCGCGTGATGATTTGAGACCTGCCCGCCGTGTCATCGCCTTCTATCGCCACGCGTACAGAGACATGGACTTCAACCCGAACAAGCAGTACTACTTGGCCACCTGCGGGGACGATTGTCGGGTGAAGTTCTGGGACATCCGGAAGCCGACGGAGCCGCTCCAGGTCATTGCTGATCACTCCCATTGGTGAGTGGACGGCGGCAGGGAGCGGGAGCGCACAACGTGCGCCCCTTCAGAACTGGGTGTGCATTGTGGTGTTTGAGTTGCCCGCTATTCATTGGTATTTCTGAGCGTTCGGTGCCGCTAAAGCTCAGTAAGCATCAGGAGCATGTGAGAACCGATGGGGCACCTTACAGGGCAAGTTTAGGAGTCAGCTGCACTGCACCTGGACAGCCTTAGCGGCTCCCAACTGGCACGTGCGGCGGCGTCCGGACAGCCCTAGCAGCTCCCACTGGCGCGTGCGGCCGTGTCCGGACAGCCCTAGCAGCTCCCACTGGCGCGTGCGGGCCGTGTCCGGACAGCCCTAGGGGCTCCCACTGGCACGTGCGGCCGTGTCCGCACAGCCCTAGCAGCTCCAACTGGCACGTGCGGCCAGCCGGACAAGCCGGTGAATTGCGGCGCTGCTGAATCGTGCGTCATTTATGTATACTGCTGAACCGCTGCCCAGCCTATCGAACCATACCCCGCACACTATCGCACATCTGTTCCCCAACGCATCACGAAAACATCCTCCCGCAAATCACTCGGGTGCAATACTGGCCTCTGTAGAACGACCGGGTGCACCTGCTGGTAAGAACAAACGTAGCACCAGTGCACTGACTCCGTCTGCCGTGCCGCAGGGTGTGGACGGTGCGCTTCAACCACTTCCACGATCAGCTGGTGCTGACGTCATCGAGCGACTGGCGCGTGCTGCTGACGTCAGCCGCCTCGCTGAGCTCCGAGCCGTTCGGCCACCTGCTGGAGGAGGACGAGGACGAGCCCTCCCAGAGCAGGTAAAATGATGGGGACGAGTGGGTGGGACGAGGTCCCCACGGCGGGTGGGAGGTCCCCCCCCTGTCCCCCTGCGGCCTCCCTCCCCCTCGAGAGGACGAGCATGTGTTGTTCTGCGGCAAGTAAGAGGACGGGGACGAGTTCTCCCGTGCCGGTCCGAGGACTGGACCACTGGTGAGGAGCGAGGAGTGCCACTCCTCTCGCGGTGGGTGGAAGGACGCGGGCCTTCGGTGCGGGCAGGCGAGATGAAGCCCTCCCGTGGTGGCTAAGACCCGCCGTGGGCGCTGGACGGTTGGCCTCCCTAGGCGAGCGAGGAGACAGGGCCTGGTCATACACAGAGATGGTGCGGGGTGCGGCATTTGTCCGTACGCCAGCGAACCGGCTATATCACGATGGTCACGAGTCATGATATGTCGTTTATTGTCACGCACATGATGCCTGTGCCGAGCTGTGCGTCATGGCGCCGGCCGTGTCGGCTTACCGCGTTGACCGTCGTCCCGCCCAGTGAAGAACCCTCCGTATGTCACAGCTGCCCCGCGGCCGACCCCGTGTGCCCAACCCACACCGTCTTTCCCTGCCCTGACGCGGACTGTCCGCTCCCACCGGGCCCGGCCCCGACCTATGGCCGCGGTCTGCTCTGATGACCGCCCTCACACAGAGCCCGCCTGGAGGACGGCCAGCTGTGCCGCTGCGAGGAGCACGAGGACTCGGTGTACGCGGCCGAGTGGTCTTCGGCCGACCCGTGGACGTTCGCCTCGCTCAGCTACGACGGCCGACTGGTGGTCAGCCGCGTGCCGCGCCAGGTCAAGTACAAGATCCTGCTGTGATGCCGCTGGTGCCGCGCCGGCCGCCGAGCGCGCGCCGCTGGCGGCGCTGGCAGCGGCGATAGGAGGACAGTGCGCGGAGGTGGCACGCGCGTGGTTCGAAGGTGTGCCTGGTGATCGAAGCGCTTGTGTTTTTTTGTGTGGAACTAATCTTGCTTTGTTTTCAATGTGGAGTGCACCGTGCACATTAGATGTTGGCGACATGAATGCTAATTTTGTGTTCATTGTTAGCAGGTGTTGAGACATTCTTATAAACGAAATTGCTCACTATTGTAAGGTTCCTTCATGACGGCTCTTATGTGCTGATGTGTTGTCTAAGTGCTGGCCGTTGTCATTCCAGGGTATCATAATAATCACTGGCATATCAGTACCGAGTTTGAAGTGCAGCTTCCATGTCAACACTTCAGCGTGCCCCCGACTAATGCAATCCACAGTTGTACTCTTCCCTGGATATGTATTTTGTCTGTCATTCGCTGGAGGCATGTTCCGCCGGCTTCCCTGGACGCGGAACGCCTGGAGTCCACCGAGCCCGGGTGGGACGGGTCCCCGCGGACACTCGGCGTTTTCTGATGTCGAGAGTGCCGCTGCAGACCCCGCCGCCGGTGGCCTCCAATGAGGGCTTCCGAGACGATCCGGCGTCAGGGCCGCAGCCTCGCGCTCCTCAGAAGGCCTGCTTTGGTAGAGCATGACACAGCCAGACCCTGGACCAGAGCCTGGACCGTTTGTACTCAGAGCTGGCTCGCGGAGTGAGGCAGCGAATGGGGCGACATTGGGAATTGGCGAAACAGCGACAACGTGATGCAATATCTTGCGCAGACGGTGGCATATGGAGCCTTGACAAGGTCGGGCCCGTGCTCCCGGGAACAATGTGAACGAGCA